TTTCTAACAATAAATTACTTGTCTTCCTTCAGAGGACGTTTAGTAGATACCTGTAAAAGACTACTCGCAGACTTCCTAACGATAAATTATCTGTCTTCCTTGTAAGGACGTTTAGTAGATACCTGTAAAAGACTACTCACAGACTTCCTAACGATAAATTATCTGTCTTCCTTGTAAGGACGTTTAGTAGATACCTGTAAAAGACTACTCGCAGACTTTCTAATGATAAATTATCTGTCTTCCTTGTAAGGACGTTTAGTAGATACCTGTAAAAGACTACTCACAGACTTCCTAACGATAAATTATCTGTCTTCCTTGTAAGGACGTTTAGTAGATACCTGTAAAAGACTACTCACAGACTTTCTAACTATAAATTACCTGTCTTCCTTCAGAGGACGTTTATCAGATACCTGTAAAAGACTACTCGCAGACTTTCTAACAATACATTATTTGTCTTCCTTGTGAGGACGTTTATCAGATACTTGTAAAAGACTACTCGCAGACTTCCTAACGATAAATTCTCTGTCTTCCTTGTAAGGACGTTTAGTAGATACCTGTAAAAGACTACTCACAGACTTTCTAATGATAAAGTATCTGCCTTCCTTGTGAGGACGTTTATCAGATACCTGTAAAAAACTACTCGCAGACTTTCTAATGATAAATTATCTGTCTTCCTTGTGAGGACGTTTATCAGATACCTGTAAAAGACTACTCGCAGACTTTCTAATGATAAAGTATCTGCCTTCCTTGTGAGGACGTTTATCAGATACCTGTAAAAGACTACTCGCAGACTTTCTAATGATAAAGTATCTGTCTTCCTTGTGAGGACGTTTACCAGATACCTGTAAAGACTACTCGCAGACTTTCTAACGATAAAGTATCTATCTTCCTTGGAGGACGTTTATCAGATACCTGTAAAAGACAGAGAATATTAATAAATGTAATTGGTAAAGGAAAATAATTTCAGATATTTATCAATTATATGTAAGTTTTAAAAACTTACCTCTCCTTCCATGCTAGACGATCTCTTGACGCCTCAGGAAGTTTGATTATCTTCATAGGTGGGTGTCGGTAAAATAAAGAAGTAAATGAGATCGTTTTTTATATAGAAATTCGTATTAATCAATATAAATGTATGAAATCAACTTACAGTAGTCAGAGCCTCAGTCTATTCAACAGCTAGAGGTCACTGAAGGAAGTAAATCCCGCCTAATTGTTGACACGCATTTCTCTCTAATTCGTTGAGATATTCACTGTTTATCGTTTGTAGGACCATTTCCTACATAAATATAAGTTATCTGTGACAGTATTTAATTAGTTTTAAAATGTATGTTTCATTTAGTTCAGAAATATATATTCAAAAATCACATTTATATCAATTGAGTTGTCTGTGGTTATCACTAGTAAGATATAGTATTCGCATGAATGTTGAGTTCAAAGTGGTTGACCTATATCAATTGAGTTGTCTGTGGTTATCACTAGTAAGATATAGTATTCGCATGAATGTTGAGTTCAAAGTGGTTGACC